AGACACAACTTTTCATTTTATTTTGTATTTTCAACCTTTCACACTTATAGACATTTTTATAAAGAGTCTCAATTTTCTTTTTATTCGGCATTCACAGCCTTTGAAATTAATCAAGATTGTTTAATTAGTAGATTTTTATTATGAGAAGACGCAACTCTTATAACTATTTTAAATATTTTTAAATTATTTTTTCTGAGACGCAATTGTTTTTATAATGAAAAGATGCAACTTTTAAACTAATATATTTCAGTTCTTATGAAAAGATACAAGCTTTCAACAATTGTTTTGTTTTTCATATAATGGTCCAAATAAAATTTTTATGCAACTTTTAAAATAATAGATTTTTTAAAAATACAAAATTATTTTTATAATGAAAAGGTGCAATGTTTAAACTAATATATTTAAGTTTTTTTTTATGAAAAGATACAACATTTCAACAATTGTTATTTTGAGAAGATACAACTATTAAACTATTTTATCTGAAACATAAACTTTGTTTAGTAATGAAAAGATGCAACTTTTAAATTAATATAATTCGGTTCTTATGAAAAGATACAACCTTTCAACAATTTTTTTTTTTGAAAATACACAATTATTTTTATAATGAAAGATGCAACTTTTAAACTAATATATTTCAGTTTATTATGAAAAGATACAATTTTTCAACCATTGTTTTGTTTTTCATGCAATTTTCCTGAGAAATGTTTTTTAGACATACGATATTTATGGCATTAACATATATTCTTTTCAAACAACACATCTTTTTACATGAAAGAGTCATACTTTTTCATATTTGAAGGATTACAATCTTTGGTTATAATTGTTTCTTTTTCTTCTATTGGTCTTAATAATTTTTTATACTTAAACTAAAATTGCTATGAGCAGTTATTTTTTTTTTCAAACAACACATCTCTTTAATTTGAAGAGTCATACTTTTCCCTAACTCTTGATTTTTTAAATTTTTTTTGAAGAGTTTCAGTCTCGTGGTTGTAATTATTATGGTTCTATCTAATGGTCCTGAAAATGTATTTGGTTGAACTTTTTTTTCCTCGCAACTCTTGAAAATATTCATTTTAAAACAAAACACGACTCTTGATAATCTATCAATGTACCTTTTCAGATTACTAAAAATAGAACGTTTTATAGATGCAATTTTTTAAGAAAATTTATGTGTTTTTTTTTCTAATATAGGTATGATTCTTAGTACTCTTGAATATAATGTTTGATTCATTATATAGTTTTAAACGATATTTAAAAATTTAATGTGGTATCTGCAAAAATAAATTAATAGATTTAGTTTCGGTGAAACTAAACTATCATATCCAAATCAATATGGCTGTAAGAAAACAACCTAAATTTTTTTGTGTAATCTCTTATTCTACTTCTGATAAAGTCCATTTTTTTGTATTTCTAACCCAGTTTGTATGGAGGTACTAAGCCTCATAGATTTAAAAATGTCGTTCTTTGCATGATAATTACAGTGTTTTAAAACATATTATATTATTTAATTAAAAGATTTAAACTGTTCCATCATTTCAACAAATTTTAAAAGTTTGTCTTCTCATATATAAAAAGATAAAAGAAAATGACTGCGACTTTAATATTAAATTTTACTTAATATTGTTATACTAAACACATAACATTTAAATTTATACATTTTCAAACACAAATTATATTTTCACTATTCTATTATATAAGATTATTTTTTAAGTATTGATCTTCGTACAAAATAATTAGTTTATTAAATGATTCAAAATGATTGACTAACAAATATAAATTATATAAAAATTACTTTTTAAAAAAACATATTTTCTCCCGCGCGTTTACGCGCGGGGTGGTTTCCTAGTGTTATTAACACCATAAAATACTAATAATCAATCATCGACTAAAACATTTCAATAGTAAATGTAAACCATTATTCTTCAGCAGGCTTGACCATACCTCTCGTACATCCTATCGTTCATAAACTTGGTGAAGTCAGAAGGTAAAGAATGAAACCCTTTGATGATCTCTTTATACTCTTTCCACCACTTCATGAAACTGCTCTTCTCCAAGAAAATCTCCGGCGAAACCTCACGTGTTCTTATCCTCTCCCACACATACTCCTCAAACTTCACGAGTTTTCCGACCAATCCCTCGTCTGGTTGTGTTTTCAACTCATTGATTACGATCAAAGCTTCTTCAACTTCAGACCAAAAGCAAGAATCAAACGTTAATAGCTCACTCAAATCCGTCCCCTTACCTCTAAGCGGTTCGTTCAACTTCGCCTCCTTAAACCATTTCTCAAGCATAACATAATGTCTCGACCTCCCAGAGATTCTATACTCTCTCCCACCATTATGGTAATACTCAGCAATATCTAACGGTTCCACCATACGTCTATAGTTGTTACCGGAGAAGAGAGACCTTGTCTTGAGAACAGACTTTTCACTCTGAGGCTTCTTCTCAACTTCTTCAACCAATGACTTCCAGTAATCATTGACTTCTTTTTTACGCTTCTCAATATCTATGTCGAACGGTGAAACACTAGAGGCGATATGAGTCTTGAACCTATCGTAGTAACCAATCTTATCCATCTTGCTTTTCTTTTTGTACCATTCTATATATATCATTGATATTTTGATGTCGTTTAGTTTCTTGAGCTGATCAAAACGCACTTTCTTCTTCTCATCACGTTCCTCCATTCGAGTTATAACGTCATCTATCATCAATCTTGAATCTTCCATCACGTTTTGATCCAAACGAGCTAGAACTTGGCCGTAGTCTATCGAATCTACTACATGATCCGTATTAGCACTGCCTAGCAACTCCATGACGGCTTCAGGGTCATCGATGCATATACATTCTGAGTCGAAACATATCAAGAACGTTCCAAAAGGCTTGAAGTCGGTGTTGATGGGCGTTTGTGAAGCATAAGCCACGTGGAGGAAACATGAGTTTCTCAAGGAGTTTTCAAGAATCTGTTGTAGAGAAGCGTCTCCTATTAGAGGTGAGCCAAATGTGATGCACAATGGACGGTTTAGTGTTGGCTCGACTGTTTCTAGAAGCCATAGTGTAAAGAGAGATGCAACCGATCCTCCTAATGCAGCTCCGGTGATGATCACAGGTTTCTTGGATTCAAGCAAATGGAGCAACTGCAAAACCACTCATAACTTTACAAGTCATCACTTGACATTCTAAAAATGTTTATACACACAAATAAAAGTTTCTATTCTTACTTTTCAAATAAAATTTTCATAATGTCTATATATATATAATTAAAATTGTCCAATAAAATCGTGATGCCCTAAATAACCGGTTCCTTTAACACATATAACTTTTACAATTCACTTGGAAACTATAAAGCAAAAAAACACAAACCAGATATGTTTAAGCATAGACACTAACTTTCAAGATTTGCAAATTGTGTTGACTTCATCATAACATGTTGACTTATATATTCTAAACACAATTCTGAAGAGAGAGTATAAGCTAATGAGTGAGATTCGAAGTTACCTCTGTTTTGAGGCGGAGGAGATTGTTATTGTAGGCAGAGAGAAAGAGCTGAAAAGCAGGGGTGTGAAGAGAGAAGGAGGAGATCTTCTCGGAGCAGAGGAAATGAAAAGGGTTTTGATCTTGTGTCCCGGAAAGAAGTGTAGAAGCAGAATGTAAAGGGCAAGTTATGTTTATTGGTGGTGCGACAAAAACAACAACCGTGTATTTGGTTTCTTGGAAGATCTTGATTCCTAGACCTGGTCCTGGAATTTGATTCAGATGGGCTGATGCACGTAACTCTGAGATCTTATTCCATGATTTGTGTAAAAGACCAGAGCTCAACACAAGCTTCCCAAGCTCAAAACCTTTTCTAAGAAACCAAGAAACACCGTGAGTTTAGTCAACACAAGATTTTCAAGAAAACAATATCAAAAACAAATAAAATGTCTGGAAATGATGGCTGGTAAGTAACTGGCAGATAAAATGAAAAAAAAAGGGAGTAATCAATATGCTTACAGTGAAGAAAAATCCATAAGTTGAGCTGGAAAAGATCTGTGAAGGAACCAGGTTCAAAGCAGACAAACGATGGAAAGCAGACAAAAGATGTTTAATAACGAGAAGGAGAGTTCATTTTAAAAATAATAAAACAGAAAGACAAAAGAAAAGTAATGTGCATCTAAATAATTATTTATTTATTCGGCAAGCAAGAAGAATACAAAACTAATGTTAATTATTCTTCCCTTCAGCTCATTTTCCAGGAAGAATCATAGAAAGCCAAAGATTCGTTCAGCATACGCTTCCGATTTAGTTGACGCTGACACAAGTGTGAATATTATAAACACATTTGCATTTTAATAGACAGTAGCATGACAATGTGAACACTCCATAATCAAAACGACTAAAGAAGCAGAAAAAAACTCAGTGACGATCTGTTTACCGTTGGCTCATCAGTAATACAGACAATAAATACCCGTACAGACAATAAATACCCGTAATAAGTGTCACCAACTCTCTCACAGTCGTGACTTTATTTCTAAGTTTTAATCCGTTTAAATAATTATTGATCAAAAAAAAAAAAATCCGTTTAAATAATTAATCGTATGTACCAGAGAAAATCTAGGATAAGCTGAGATACATTTGATGAGGCATGTATAGGTATTTGATCTTACGATTATACGTATAGGCCCAAATAAAAAGCCTAACACTCAAAATGCTTATGCTCCAACCTTATGTTGTCACTTTTCTTCCATCAAATTAGTTTCATATTACCACCGAATAAAAACTAAAAAGAGTTGTGTGGGCCAAAGATTTGCCTTTTTTAAAGTCGGGGTCGATTTTTTCTTAAAACAAAACAAAACAGAACAAAATCCAGAAAAGCCTCAATTCAACGAAAAAGGTTTCTTATACAATCCGTAAACGCACATCCAGCTCGAAGTTACTAAACCAAAATAAAACGCACTAAAAGCTTATAAGAAGGCACCACTTTCCCTCTTAAATCATCCTTGATTAATGATATCCTTTCACATTAGCCATTGTTCATCAAAGGCTTAAGGACACTTGGGTCTGCCGTCACGTGTCTTCATGTTGGCGTAACAAGTTCCACACTTTTCTTTATTACCGTACGTGCCAGGGGGTACGCACTTGCAACGGTAGCAGCACGTGACGCACGCCCTCATACATACGTTCTGCCTTGAGTGTTGGCCACATCGTGTTCCACATAAAGGCACGCAATCTATACCGTCCAAAACAGTAGTCCAATGTTTTATTTTTAATCAACGATCAGTAATAATCTTTAACGTTTTAGAAGAATATCTTTAACTGATATTATTACCTATTAAAGATCTAGAAACAATGAAAAGAGGAATCGTAGTTCAAGAACACAGAGCTGAGAAGAAGAAGATGAAAAATGAGTTTGTTATATTCAATCAACGTAACTGTATTCTGTTACAAGGTTTAACTTATATAGTAGCTCCTATTTACACTAACCGGAACTAACCATAATAAACCTGGACTTAACCATGATCAAGTAAAAGGAAGCTTAACCATGATTGAACCACATATCTAATATACCCCCCTCAAGTCTTTATCTTGGTAGCATCCGAAGGAGAAGGAAGATAAAGACTTGAAAGTGATAACCGATGTATCAAAGAGTAGAACGGTCCAGGATGCAGAGCTTTTGTGAGGACATCAGCCAGCTGGTTGACAGTAGAAACATGCATAGTACGAAGACATCCAGCCTTTATCTGATCCCGAACAGTATGACAATCAATGTCAATGTGCTTCGTTCTCTCGTGGAAGACAGGATTCATAGCAATGTGAAGAGCCGACTTGTTGTCACAAAATAACTTGGCACAAGCTGAAGGAGTAATGTGAAGATCACAAAGAAGCTGCCGGAGCCAGATTAACTCACAAGTGGCCAGAGCAAGACTGCGATATTCTGCCTCTGTACTGCTCCTACTCACCACGGTTTGCTTCTTGGACTTCCAGGAAATCAAAGAGGTACCCAAGAAGACACAAAAACCACTAACAGAACGTCGTGTATCCTTACATGTTGCCCAATCAGCATCAGCAAACGCATTAAGACACAACTCTGTAGTAGCAGAAAACATCAAACCCTGACCTGGATTATTCTTCACATAACGAAGCACCTTATGAGCAGCCTGCAGATGCGTATCAGTCGGACAAGAGAGAAACTGACTTAGCTGATGTACTGCAAAGGTTATATCTGGACGAGTAATCGTCAAATATAACAAACGTCCAATAAGCTCTCTGTACTCAGTTGGGTTAGGAAGAGGAGAACCCAAAGTCTTGGTAAGATGAAGATTAGGATCCATAGGAATACTACTCGGCTTACATCCCAAAAGACCAGCATCTTCAAGAAGATTCAGAGCATACTTCCTTTGGCAAACAGAAATCCCTTCAGAAGAACGTGATATTTCAAGGCCAAGGAAGAAACGAGCCTGTCCAAGATCCTTAATTTTGAACTCAGAACGAAGAAGAGCTTGCAACTGAGCCAAAGACGCATCATCATTGCTCACAATAAGGAGATCATCAACATAAACCAACACAGCAATGAAGGAAGATGATACAGAACGCACAAACAGAGTGTTATCTGCTGGAGACTGAACAAAATTCGCTCCCAAAAGGACAGAAGAGAAGCGCTTATACCACTGACGGGAAGCCTGTTTTAAACCGTACAAAGACTTGCGCAATCGGCAAACAGGATTGGGAGGAAGAAGCATACCAGAAGGAGGAGTGTAACCCTGTGGTAAGCTCATGTAAATCTCCTCATCAAGATCCCCATGGAGAAAGGCATTAGAGACATCCATCTGTGTTATTCGCCATCCTTTTGCTGCAGCAAGACTCAATAAAAGCTTGACACTAGTCAGTTTAGCAACAGGGGAAAAAGTATCCATATAATCGAGTCCCTCCTGTTGTGTAAACCCTTGAGCAACAAGCCTTGATTTGTAACGCTCTACCGTTCCATCCGGATTATATTTGATAGAAAATACCCACTTACAACCAACAACATTCTTGCCAGGAGGCAATGATGCAATATCCCAAGTTCCATTAAGCTCAAGAGCATCAAACTCGACTTTCACAGAGGCTTTCCATTTATCAGATTGCATAGCTTGAGCAAAATTCTTGGGTTCAGTTTCAAGAGAATAAGAAAAGATATAATGTTGAGTTTGAGGATGAAATTTGTCATAAGAGACAACAGAAGAAAGTGGATAAGGAGTTGAAAAAGAAGAAGAAGGCAAAGACGAAATAGGAGATGAAAAAGAACAAATTTGATGCTGAGAAAAATGAGGAACAGAGGACGAAGAAGGCAGTAAAGAGCAGTGATACTCAGAAAGATAGCTAGGAGCCTTAGACACACGTTTAGACCTAGTAACAGGTAAAGAACCTACACCAGTCTCAGACACTAATGGTTCAGTCACAAGTGAAGGAACATTCCGAGAAACAACAGGAACAGTATGTTCAGTATGAGAAGAATGAGTAGAACCAGTATGAGAATGCACACAAGAATCATGCACAGAAACTGGAACAGGTATAGTTTCCACAAAATGTAAAGGAACAGGAAGAGGAAGAATTGTATTAGGAAACATGTCAACTGCAGTAGACAAAAATTCACTAGTTTTAAAAGGAAACTCATGTTCATGAAACACCACATTACGAGAAACAGATATCGAATGGGATTCTAAATCCAAAACTTTATATCCTTTAAAACCAACCGGGTAACCAAGAAATACACATGGCCTAGCTCTAGGTGAAAATTTATGCCTATCTTTTGATAGTGTTGATGTAAAACACAGAGAACCAAAAGTCTTAAGCATTGTGTAATCAGGAACTCTACCAAGTAACAATTCAAATGGAGATTTATAACCAAGAAGAGGAGAAGGTAAACGATTGATTAAGAAAACAGATGTAAGCACACAATCACTCCAATACTGCAAAGGAACATTAGATTGAAACAATAATGCTCGAGCAACATTAAGTAAGTGTTGGTGCTTTCTCTCAACCACTGAGTTTTGTTGAGGTGTATAAGGACAGGAAAAATAATGCACAATACCATGTTTTTGAATAAGAGAAGGAAATGCAAGTTCAGGTGCATTATCTGATCGTATTGCTTTAATCTTTGCTTTGTATTGAGTTGAGACAAGTTGAAGAAACGATGGAAAGATAGACAAAACATCATTTTTATTTCTCATCATATAAACCCATGTCATCCTTGTACAATCATCAACTAAAGTAAAGAAATATCTATAACCCTCAACAGACTCAGTATGAAAGGGACCCCAAACATCTAAGTGAACAAGATCAAATGAATGAAGAGACAAATTGTTGTGAGAAACATATGCAAGACGCCGTTGTTTAGCTAAAGGACAAATCTGACAAGGTGGACTAGCAAACGTGGATGACTTCAAAGACGGAATAACAGGAAGCAAGTTGTGTAAAACAGCAGACGAGGGATGTCCTAGACGCAAGTGCCATAAGCGATCATCAGAAAGAACAGAACCACAGAAAGGAACCACAGGAGTCGATGTTGAGAGGGTTGGCTTAATGAGTATGTAGAGATTATGAAGAAGTTCACCCCTCCCAATCATCAATCCCTGAGAAAGGTCCTGAAGAAAACAACCAGTAGGATAAAAGTGAGCAGAACATGACAAAGAACGCACCAAACAACTAACACTAATCAGGTTAAAACGAAAATCCGGAACATGTAACACATCAGAAAGAATTAAGGAATCTGATAAACGAACAGTCCCTGTATGAGTAATCGGAACACTAACACCATTTGGAAGTGAAACATTAACACTAGAGACTGGTGAAAGTTCAGTAAACAGTGCTAAATCAGAACAGACATGACTAGAGGCTCCACTATCTATTATCCAAGCATCACGAGAAAGAGCATTTTGTAAAGAAGAAAGACAATGGTCTTGAAAAGTAAGGATATTGTGTTTGAATTTAAGACTGGTAGAAGGAAAAGGAAGTATACCAGCAGAAGAAGTGGAAGCCATAATACCATGTTCTGTAATGGAAGCTCGTGAAGAAAGAGTTGAATGCTCTGGAGCCCGGACTTGAGAATTGAATTGAGAGATAAGATGTTGTAGTTGTTGTGGAGTAAAATCTGGAAGAGTGATGCCAGTTCCCCCAGGCACAGCTAAAGACACACAAGAAGTAGCAGGATTCACAGTAGAATGCACATTAGCAATGGAATTGGTCGGAGTAGAACTCTGTTGAACCAGAGAAGAAGTGTGTTGAGAGGCTAACGGCTTAGTCTGATTCCTGTAGGAGTTACCAGAACCATGTGTCCTATAACCAGGAGGAAAACCATGTAGCTTGAAACACTTCTGTACCGTGTGTCCTGACTTTCCACAATGCGTGCAAATAGGTCTCTGAGCTTGACGACTAGTGTTGTAAGCAGCAACATACGCAGGATCAACAGCAGGAGAGGGCAATAAACCAGAATTCGCCAAAGGAGTAGTACTCTGAACTTGGAAAGCAACAGTATCAACTCGAGTACTAGGACGAAGAGTCTTCTGACGTTCATCTTGAGTCACAATATTGAAAGCTTCTTCAATGGTTGGTATAGGTTTCAACATCAAGATATGACGACGAGACTGCTCATACGACTCATTAAGCCCCATCAGAAACTTTGTAACACGGCTTCTCTGTTGTAACTTCTCCCACAAGGCTGCAGCATCACATTCACAACGACCACAAGTACACACAGGTAACTCTACATAGTTCTTATGCTCCTCCCAAAGAGTAACCAACTCAGTATAATAGGTAGAGACATCCATGTTACCCTGCTCAATAGAACTCAACCTCTGCTCAAGATCATAAACACGAGGTGCATCATCTTGTTTAAAACGAGTAATCAAATTGTTCCAAATCCCTTCAGCAGTGGAAATGAACAATAAACTCTGACCTATCTTCTTCGATACAGAATTCAAAAGCCAAGTCGCAATCATATCATTGCAACGTGACCAAGCACCGTAATCTTTATGAGTCAGAGACAGTTTAAGAATCGTACCATCAATAAATCCCAGCTTGTTGCGAACGTTTAACGCCATACGAATCGATCGTCTCCATGAATTGAACTCAGATGCAGTCGTGAGTCGATCGGAAACCAGAACAAGACCAGGATGATCGGTATGATGGAGATAGTACGGATTCTCATACTGATCTGCTTGAAAACGCGTAGAATCAACACTCGTCAGCGGCGGAGGATTCATCGTATCAGTAGAATTAGGGTTCGACATTGAAACAACCACCAGAAATTGGGGAAAACGCCAAGAAATCCAATCGGAAGAGATGAAACAGCTCAATCAAAGAAGACGAACCAAAAAGAAGTAACAGAAGATGATCCGAAGAAGAAAATCACCACAAATTGAAAGAAACGCAGAAGCAAATCGGAGAAGACGGTTGATTGGTACACTCATGATGAAGATTCGAAGCGGAAGAATGATTTTGATTGCTCTGATACCATATTAAAGATCTAAAAACAATGAAAAGAGGAATCGTAGATCAAGAACACAGAGCTGAGAAGAAGAAGATGAAAAATGAGTTTGTTATATTCAATCAACGTAACTGTATTCTGTTACAAGGTTTAACTTATATAGTAGCTCCTATTTACACTAACCGGAACTAACCATAATAAACCTGGACTTAACCATGATCAAGTAAAAGGAAGCTTAACCATGATTGAACCACATATCTAATATTACCTATACGAGTTCTAACGGAGGGTGGTGTCGGAGGTTTGGCCGGAGGTGTCGGTGGTTTAACAGGTGGTGCACTGACTGGAGGTGATGGGATTGGGCTGACAGGTGGTTTAACCGTTGGTGGTGTCGTAACCGGGGTTGTCGGTGTTGGTTTAGCTGGCGCTGTAGGTGGGATCGTGGGTGGCTTAACCAGTGGCGTTGGCGGTTTGTACGTGGGTGGTTGAACCGGTGGTATTGGGGGTGGTTTGACAAGTGGTGATGTGGGTGGTTTAACTTGAGGTGGGTATGACTTAACCGGTGGTTTGGTTGGTGTAACCGGAGTGGCTGGAGGTTTGACTGGGGGTGTTGGGGTGGGCGGTTTAATCGGAGTTGTAGGCAGTGTGGGTGGCTTAACCAGTCGCGGTGAGGGTTTGTACGACGGAGACGGTGGTACAAAGATCTATATAAATTGCAAATTTAACTTTAGTTCTTTATTAAAAAAAACAAAGGGCATTAAGTATATACACTACTTTGTAATTAATATACACATTTAAGATAATAAAAGAGAAAATTAGAAGTTAGAAACATATTACTGACCTTGGATTCTTCATTTGAAGCAGCAAGAATAACCTGATCAGCGATTAATCCAAATATATGTTAGTTAAAATGTGCAAACACGTAACGTGCATAGATATATACTATTATTTTCTCCAGGTCTTTCAGATTAAACAGAATATAAAGCAAAAACAATAATTTTGTTTAGTAAAAAACTAATTAGTGTTCAAAAAATAATAATAACTTACATCTGTGAAGACTTGAAGAAAGATGAAGACAGAAAGAAGTGAGAGAGCCATTTTTGTAGGGAATGAGGAAGTGGTGAAGTCACACGACGAAGACCAATGGCCTTTTGCTATAAATAGAAGTTCATTTGTTAATATAATTATTATTTCCTCTTATTATCCATAGATACAAATAAATAGTTTTAATGCATATGTTAGGTCCAGAGTTGTTATTATTTGCATGCCAGCTTTGAACTTTCACTGCACCATAGCTCGAGGAACAATATAGTGGAGTTTAATACATGTTTTTTTTTTCTGTTTGTGCTCAAAATAAACTATACTACATGAGCCTCTCCTCCTCTAACCAAGCTCTCTCCCTTATGTATCAGACCTACCTAATTCGAATTAAATGAAAGTTGATTCACAAAAAAAAAAAAAAAAACTATACTACATGAAATTGCCATTGCCACTTTATTCATACACCAACTTGGAATAAGTTTACCAATAAAAATCATTTTTAACTCTACGGACTGGTGTTGTCAAAAAAAAAAAAACTCTACGGACTGGTGAAATTATAGGAGTTGTTTGCGTACCCCGAGAAACCGGTGGATGGCTAAATTGATATTATTTAGTTTTTAAAAAGATAAATTGTTAGGACATCTTTGACATTACTCTATTTTTTACTTTAAAATAGAGTTTTAGAGTAAAAATGTTCCTATAGTATTTTATATCCCACTTTATAATAGAGTGAAAAAAATATTTATTTCAAATATGAAATAACTTATTTTTTTTTGTTCATCACTCTATTTTCAACTATAAAATAGAATATTATTAAAATAAATACTAACTATATTATAGAATGATTCTATTTTAGAATAAAAATAATGTGAACCATTGGTGATGGTTGAGTTCTTTTTCGGACAACAAGAATATTTTATTAACAGTAGTCCATTTGCCCATAAAGCTGTGTCCTTATTTTATTTTGTAATTGTTTTTTTATAAAATAAAACATGAGTCGCACCAGTGAAAAAAGGCTTGTCGCTTATCATTTGCTAACATGTCCAACGAAAATTACAATATAGTGTTGTGAAATATATAAGTGAAATAGTGTATAATTTATATTTTCTTATAAAAATCGAAAGTGTTATCTGATCAGAGATGGACAATAGCACATGGGTCCTTTAATTTTTTCGGTGATTTTTATTATATTTTTCTGACATTTAGAGAGAGTATAGATTTATCATTGTCGTGCGACACTTTCTTCTTTAGTGTTATCATTGTAATCTTCTTTTCATGAATGAATGTTTGCTTATTTTACACTTTAATCTATTTTACAAATATTTATGAAAGACTACAAATATTTGTTATCAAATTCGTTAGGTTGAGCAGAAATCCAGGTTTTGGGAGTACATAACAGTACGTAAAAACTAAAAAGTAGACTATACAGGTACATAATAATAGAATCATGATCATTGTTATGAAGTATGATCTAACGATAAATTTTGCGAAATCTTATATTACTCGTGCCATTCATCCAATCTAATATATTGAAATAATCTTATGAACCCTTGGAAATGTTTGTTATGTTAGACCAAACTGTGTTGATAAAAAAAACTAAGCTGTGTTAATCTCCGACTATAAAAAGTGATGAGATGTGTCATAAGTACAGCAAATGCTTGAGCTGTGATTGACTATATACTTTTCATTATAAACACACAACTACATGCATCGTACCAAGCATGGAACCTAAAAAGTCTATAAAAAACCCCAACCTCCATGCTTTGTGGGAACCCATATTATCTAATTATTTATTGTTATTTTACTGGATTTTATTTTCTTGTTTCCAGGAAACAAAACATTAATTTCCACTTTTTTGTAAATTACCACATTGTATTATTGCGAGGAACAAATGAAAAAATAATCCTAAATAAACTTGAACATTGATATGTTTCCGTAATCACAAAATGGAGGAGAAAGATTAAAGTTGAATCCAGCTCCTTGTATAGTCTCCACCAAGCTTGATGCCATAATCTTTAAAATTCAAGCAACTAGCCACCAAAAGATCCTACTTAATCTATGATTTATAGACAGATTGCCTATATTGTAGCACCAGTTTTTATAATTCACCACATTATCTATTGCGACTAACCCTAAATAAAATTGAACACTGATGTGTTTCCTTAATCACAAAATGGAGGAAAAAGACCATTTAATTAGACAAGAATCTCATCTTCGTTTTCAAAGCTCAGATTCAAAGTGTGTAACTTGAATCCAGCTCCTTGTATAGTCTCTCCACCAAGCTTGATGTCACAAGCCTTCAAAATTCAAGCAAATAACCAAAGATCAGACTCATTTTTTGATGCATAGATGATGATTGCCTATTGCTTGTAGCACCAATGCTCCGACACATTTTGCCACATTATTAGCTAAGTTCATTTTAAAAAACAAGTAACCTAGAGAGTTTTATAATCTTAGTAAGAAACAGAAGAATCTCGGACTGATTTGTTAGTTGTGACTATACATTGCAAGGAACGCAAAAGTCTATACATGGCTTTACGTCATAAAAAAAGAAGCAAAAAGTGTTTTATTACCTGTAAGGTCTTTGTTACAATAGGATTTGGCCAAAGTTACCATCGGCCTCTAAATTAAAAGCAAAAAGCCACTATTGTTAGTTGTTACGGACATTAGTTCTAACAATGTACACTAGTTTTGAGTTGTACAATATTAGTCAGCAAATTCAGCACATTAGTTTGAGGTGTAACCGTGTAAGCTTAGGGATCAACTTTGGTTGGTCGGAAATGTATTTAAAGATGATGTACGTAAGACATTACAATACAACTTTTTAACTCTTTGCTGGAAGATAGTAATTTCATATAGCTATAGCATACCCAACATGAGAGAATGTTTTTTTCTACAAAATATTTTAAGGGGTTATTTCTACACACGAGCATTTTGTTCATCAAATCCAGTAAAAATACTCATGTGCTACAAATTTATGTATATCATGCATTCCTTTAGGTGTGCTATTGACCTTTTACTGTACTGTTAATGAATGTACAAAAAAAATTGAATCATAGTTTGCAATTTTCAGCCAATATATTGTATAGAGCCATACAACGGTCGATGGAATACATTCACTGAAAGTATATAATATATGGTCGGCAATGATTTTTCGAAGATTCTTCCCCACGTTTAACTTGAGGATGCGTTGAAAAAGCAACCGGCTATACAATGGTTTACAGGAGCGACTTAACAAGTTAACGTTGTAGTAAAAAAGAAAGTTAACGTTACGTAGTATGAGATCTAATAAGCATTTAAGAATGTAAACACCGGTTTAGTTCCGGTTTATTTTAGAAAATCGAAAACGGTTAATGGAAGATTCTTCAAAACCAGCTTGGCAGTTACGCAATTCCAGCTCTTGTTTTTCCCCTTAAGAAACGAATACGTAAAGGAGAAAGGAAAAGGCATCATCTTGCAAGAGAGAAAGATTTAGGGTGAAAGATTTAGGGTGAAAGATTTAGGGTTGCAGAGAAGCAGGGGAAGGAGGACTCTGTATTCCTCTGTCCCTCTTCCTTTAAATCTTCTCGAGAAAACCAATGGGGCTTCAATCTTTTCCTATCTCTGAAATGGACACGACCGAAGATATGCACGAAGCCATGTTCGCGAAGCAAGGTTGTTGTTTCTTCCTCCCATGTCTCGGCTCATCTCAACCGTCTGGTCCAAATGGTAACGTATGGTGGCAACGAATCAGAACCGTTGATAAGTTGGAGCCTGACGAACGTTGGTGGATGTCAGGTTGGAATAAGATGAGGGAATGGTCTGAAATCGTGGGTGGCCCCAAGTGGAAAACATTCATCCGCCGTGTTGGAGGAGACATGGGTAGTAGTAGGTCGGATCAGGTTAGTTTCCGGTACGATTCATCGAGTTACTTGTTGAATTTTGACGATGGTAAACAGATGGGTCATTTCGAAGACGAGTTTCCTTACCGTGATTACTCAATGAGGTTCACCGCACTACCGTCTCTGCCGGTCTCCACCAAATGCTCTATTGATTTTGACAACGATAACTACGTCACCGCCAATGATTAAGTAAAGGACACACGTTTTTTTGTTTTTTGTTTTTGTGGGTTGTCTTCAAACGTGAGATCACCTTTGAAAGGTATTGGATTTTATGATTTTGCAAGGAAGAATTGTTTTATAAAAATTTTATAACATAATTTCATTTTGAATGAACCCATGCATTGTAATGTATTTAGTTGATAAAAATGTGATCTCCGATGAAAAGGTGGACAGCTAAGTCTCAGAAGAGAACAGTAACGCCAGAAAATGGCAATTGATATAATTTAGAAACAAAACAATTAATCTCTTTAGACTTGCTAACCAAAATTAAAAGATATAATATATGGGCGCATCCTTACTTGTCGTTCTTCTTAATTAAAAAGGTGTTCCAGTGCTCGTTTGGCCTCAGAGGTGGGCAAGTTGGCACGACTATAGTAATGTGGTGCAACATCTACAAGCCATTCACCTCGAATTTTGGAAACAGTTTGGATGAAATCACTGCTAGTTTTCACATGTTCGTTGTAGATTACCCACTCTGGTTTGTGTTCTAAGACGGTGGAAGGATGCAAGTCAACCACTTGCTTATTATTTCTGACGGTCAAGTAGTGGCCAGTAGTGCCTCCTAGGTGAGCCACCTGCATGAAATAACCGGCAAGCAATGCCTTTCTTATGTTGACGTAGTAACTCGGGCTGTTGGAAGCAGTGCTACACAGCCTCAACCGTAACCTCGACATGATTTGGACCAGCTGCTCTCTGATACTAACCGCAGACTTCATTACTCTATAGTCGATGAAGTTTGCGGAGCACCAATCAGGGTCTTGGTTGTTTTGCAAGAAAGCTTGGAACACATTCAAGAGCGTGAGGTGATCACCGTCAATGTGCGCAAACCTGGATTTAGCTTCATCTGCTGCTGACTTCTGAGCTTCTCCTCTTGGGATGATGAAACAATTGGGCACTAAAAGCATCGCTGAAATCGAAAGGATCTCGTTTGAGCAGTTGAGTTGAGGACTGGCTATGAGCATCTTAGACATTTGAGGATCCAAGGGAAACTCACTCATCATCATACCCGTTTCCGTCAAGTTACAGTCGTCATCCACTGCTCCCAAGTCAACCAAATCTTCCAAGGCCAAAGTGAAATTCCCGGGATCAGGACGATCCATAAAATTGATATTACCCAAGTGTTCCACACCTAGTTTTATCAAGGCCAGAGCTGAGTTTGCTAGGTTTGATCTCAATATTTCAGGACACAAAACCATATTCTTATTGTAAGTTTTTTCTGTGTAAAGCCTGAAACATTTTCCACCATGTCTTCTACCGGCATGACGTGCTCTGTGGTCAGCACTTGCCTGGGATATTCGCAACACGTACATGTACTCTCCATGAGTGCGTGAGTTGAACATTTTCTGCTTGGAGAAACCAGAATCAACCACGTAAACGATCCCGTCCATGCCCAAAGAGGTCTCTGCAATGTTGGTGGAGACAACTATCTTTCTCACTTGGTCTGGTGTAGGATCGAATATTTTCTGTAGCGAGGAGTGGGGAAGAGTAGAATACAGTGGCAGAACTTTGACCTCATCATCTCCGAGTACAAGGGAGATTCTGCTGCATGCGTCTTCAATCTCTTCTTCCCCGGTTAAGAAAACAAGAACATCACCTGCTGGCTCGCACTTGTGAATCTGGATCACAGTGTTTATAGCTGACTCAAGATAGTTCATCTTATTAGGTTCTTCTAGATCAGTATATGTAATGTCCACTGGGTGAAGCCTTCTTCCGGGGACTTTGATCATAGGCGCACGGTCTAAATACTTAAGAAAATCGTTGTGTTCAAGGTCTTCACTCAACACGACCAGCTTAAGATCAGGCCGATCCGGCAAGACTCGTTCAAGATAACCGAAAAGCAAGTCCATGGCCAAAGTTCTTTCGTGTGCCTCGTCGAGAACAATGGCTTTGTATCTCGATAGGAGAGGATCCGACATTGCTTCTCTAAGAAGCATGCCATCAGTCAGGTACTTGAGCACCGTTCGGGGACTGCTGCAGTCGTCGAAACGGACGGTGTAACCGACTTCTTCCCCGAGCTCTACATTCATCTCTTCAGCAACTCGACGGGACGCAGACGTGGCTGCAACTCTACGAGGCTGCGTGCAACCAACCAACCACTTACTCCCACTAGGGTTGTTAGGGTTAGGGTTTTCCTCGAGCACTGCTTGTAAAACAAATTGTGGGATCTGCGTAGTTTTGCCACAGCCGGTCTCACCGACCAAAATTACCATCTGATTTTCCTTGAATTTTCTTAGGAACTCTTGTTTCTGCAACCACACTGGTAGTTTCCTCCGTTTCTCTAGAATCTCGAAATATCTCTCCGAGTAAGCTGCCTTCTTCATCATCATCATCTTTATTTTTTATTATTATGACAAGTTATTCACCGAAGCCACCTTCTGTACCTACTATATATATAGAGATCTCCTACTAGTTAATAATTTTCCTTTTACACAAATTAATATCGCGAATGTTTCTATAATTCAGCAAATTAATTTCCTAAAGTATCTATTGATTTCCTTTTCACAAAACATGTTTTCCTTTTCAAAGTTATATAGATCTCCTAAAACAATGTCTAGTTAATATTGTTTTCCTTTTCAACAAACTAATATCGCGAACGTTTCTATAATTCAGTAAATTAATTTCCTAAAGTATATATGATTTCTGTTATACGGAAATAGATAAATATCATATTTTCTATTTACATCTTCTATATTAAAAGAGAAGTACCATTTTTATCTAATACAAAATAGTCATATGTAGGTTCATATATTCAATTACATTTTTTTTATTATTTACATTAGTTTATTTAATGTATAACATTTTATATAATTATAAGGATATTATAAACAGATCTATTTAAACTGTAATTTTAAATTTTAATTTTACTAATTACAAAATATGTTGAGAAAAAATCTAACAAAATCTTTTTCAAAAAATTTTAAATATTTTTTTAATTAATACACTGATTAATTTCGTAATTAGTAGTAAAATATTATTATAAATTAATCTTAATTTAATATTTATTATAAAAATATAATAAATTATATGCTAATTTTATAAATTTTATAAGTATAGTGTATATTATATTAAAACAGAGGTAATAAATGAATTATATATAAAAATTAAATTAAATTGGTAAATTTATATATTTTGAGAAAAAATCATTTAAATAAGTAAATAAAATATAATCCACCATTTAAGTGACTAAAATATCATTTATATTTATAAAAGATTAAACATTCGTAAATTATTTAATAAATTTTACACAAAATAAAATTGTTAACATATGTTAATGTTTATATTTAATAGAATATATTATCTAAAAATATAACTTGAATGCATTTATCACTTCTTTTTAAGAAGTATGAACCTTTTTATTTTGAGATAAAAATATATTAAAAAATCATAGTATCTATGAATTAAAAAAAAAGGCTGAAAATAATCCATAATTTATATCCTTAGATATTTTGTTTTCTAAACATTGACAAATGTTAGAAATTAGTGATAGAATAAAATTACAAAATATAAATAGTGAAATTAAATGTTATTAATAAAATATAAAATATAAATAGTGAAATTTAATGTTAGATTATTCTTGGGTGCACCCCCTAAGGTGAACCTAGAGGTTCACCAACCAATAGAGTGGTGTTATTTTATATTTGATTCTTTTAAAAAAGGAAACAAAATCTTATCAAATTATATTATATTTTTAAAATAAAATTAGAAAAAATAAATAAAAATACTAATATTTACAAAAAACGAAAATAAAAATCTTTAAAAAATATTTTAACATTATATTGTTTTAAAATAAAAGATAAAAATAAAATAAAAATAGTAATAATTGCAAAAAATCAATTTAAAACAAAAAATATTTTTAATATATCTTTAAAATAAAAACATGTGGTTAAAATAAAAAGATAAAAATAAATAAAAAATAGAATAATTGATTAGTATTAATTTACCCAAGGGTTAAGACTTCTCCAAAGGGTTTATGATTTACCCAAGGGTTTAGGGTTTAGGATTTGGGTTTAGGGTTTAGTATTAGGGTTTAGGGTTTAGGATTAGAGTTTAGGGTTTGGTGTTAAATATTTTTTTTTAAAGTTATTTTTCGTTTTTTTAATATTATTATTTTTTATTTATGTTTTGTATTTTTATTTTAAAAACATAATATAACTTAACAAGATTTTACTTCCTTTTAAAAAAGATATCAAATATAAAATAACACCATCCTATTGGTTGGTGAATCTAGAGATTCACCCTAGGGGGTGAACCTAAGAATAACTCTTCTTATTTTTAATAAATTAAGAAAAGTCAGATATTCACTAAATTTGAATATATATATATATTTTGTATATGTGCATATGACTAGATTTTTAATAGTAGCACATTAGGTATTAATATGCATTAAATATACAAGGAAAATATAAGAATACAAACTAAATCAAAAGCAATAAACACATCAAACAAATAAAAAAGATTCCCACATAAGTTAGCTAAAAATAATCCATAATTTATATTCTTAGATATTTTATTTTCTCAACTTTAACAAAGGTTAGAAATTACTTATATAATAAAATAAAAATACAAATAGTGAAATTTAATGTTATTCTTATTTTCAATAAATTAAGAAAAATCAGATATTTACAAAATTTGAATATATATATATATATATATATATATATATATTTATTTATTTATGTGTGTATCACTAGATTTTTAATAGTAGCACATTATGAATTAATATGCATTAAATATGCAAGAAAAAAAAGCAGACTACAAACTAAATAAAAAATAATAAACACATCAAACAAATACAAAGATTCCCATATAAATTATATTGTATGTTATTGTTACAAATGATATTGTATACACACTAAATTTATATCAATTACTCAGTATAAAAAATAATCAGACACGTAAAAATAACTATGTGCTTTTATGAAAAACAAACAAAACATAAAACATTATAATATTAAAAATAATATAATATT